TTGGGATTGTGGGGCTGGGGTCTTTGGGTATCTTTGGGGGTGTGAGGCTGGGATCTTTGGGGACCTTTGGGGATGTGCAGCTGGTATCTTTGGTTATCTTTGGGACTGTGAGGCTGGGGTCTTTGGGACTGTGAAGCTGGGATCTTTGGGGATGTGCAGCTGGGATCTTTGGTTATCTTTGGGACTGTGAGGCTGGGGTCTTTGGGGATGTGAGGCTGGGATCTTTGAGGATCTTAGGGACTGTGAGGCTGGGGTCTTTGGGACTGTGAGGCTGGGGTCTTTGGGACTGTGAGGCTGGGGTCTTTGGTTATCTTTGGGACTGTGAGGCTGGGATCTTTAGGGATGTGCAGCTGGGATCTTTGGTTATCTTTGGGACCGTGAGGCTGGAATCTTTGAGGATTTAGGGACTGTGAGGCTGGGGTCTTTGGGGATGTGAGGCTGGGATCTTTGAGGATCTTAGGGACTGTGTGGCTGGGGTCTTAGGGACTGTGAGGCTGGGGTCTTTGAGGATCTTTGGGACTGTGAGGCTTGCTGCCAGCTCTCAGTGCCTGTTGCTGTTTTCTCTCCCAGATGTCCAGGAGAGCAGATTCTCCCCCTGCCTGCCCCTGCTGCTGAGCCCAGGCCTGGCTGAGACGTTCCTGCAGGGATCCCAGCTGGATTTCCTTCCCCTGAGGTGGGATGGGCTCCTGGGGCTGGTTCTGCACTGGGTAATGGACAGTGGCAGGTTCTGGGCTCAGAAATGGGGGTTTGGGGGTGTGTGCAGGGAGGCACCGCTGGGTTTTGCCTTCAGGAGAGTTTGAGCAAGGGAAAAGCAGGAGCAGGCTCTTCTGAGATTGTCATGCTGAGCTACCCAGGGAAAATGAGGAATTCCACCCTCTTCAACATCTCTGGAGCCTTCTTGGACTCTGAAATAAACTTCATGAAATTCTGGGGACAAAGATCAGGTTTCTGTATTTACAGGAGTAAGACATACATGGGCAGTGTTGTGGTGTGTAGATGCTGGAGCCATATGTGTAATTTACAGTACAAGTTTGGGGTTAAAATGCATAAAGAAAGAGCTGTTCCAGTAAAAGGCTTTGTCACCTTCATTCCGAGGTGCTCTGCTTGCATGGAATAATATTTATTATTTTTGATGGTATGTTTAATATAAAGGAACTATTAATTAAGCAATTCCCAATATGAGAATTAGAACTTTATAGGAATTTGTTGCTTGTCTGAGACCTGGCTGCTTTACTATCCTTTAAAAAAAATAATTGATATAATGAACTGAAGTAGGTGATTTATATGAAAAAATCACAGGCAAGCTGATATATGTGTAAGCACATATTGCATATTTTACTTAGCTAATTTTATTTATTTATGAAACTAATAACAGCCTGTCAGTAAAAAATGTTTCAGTCCTAACAGGTTGAAAAATATTGCCATACTAAGTAAAAATGGATATTATTATAATATTATTTTTGAGCATTTGTTTTGTAGGAGATTTTTGATGTTTCTTTCCATTCCTTCAGGTTTTGCCCCTTTAGGGGATGAATTTATGGCTATTTGTGTGAATATTGCTAACCCCCCATTGTCACCGAAGTTCCTCTGCCTCTGATTTAAACCAGAGGTGTTGGAATAAAAGAAATGATCAGAAATTCCATTTTCTTGCAGAGGAATCCCGGATGTTTCTGGAGCATCCCTGGAGCATCCAGAGCCTCCCCAGGTCCATGGCAGCACATCCCTGAGGGGCCCAGCCCTTCCCAGTCCATCCCAGCCCGTGGGACAGGCGGATCCTGGAGCTGCTCCCCGCGCTGGGCAGCGCCTGGGCAGCCAGGGGGACAGCGGGGACAGTGACAGTGGCACTGAGCAGGAGGCAGCAGCCCCCCGGGGCAGGGCGGATCCGGCACACCCAGCTCCAGAGGAGGGGCTGGCAAAGGGGCTGGAGCAGCCCTGGAGCACAGCTGGGAAGGATGGACACTGCTCTGGACACTCCTGTGGTCACTCCTCCCAGGACAGTGATGGCCCAGCTGCTGGCTCTGAGCTGTCAGAGGGGAGCAAGGAGTCCCCAGGGCAGGGGGAATCCTCCTCCTCCTCCTCCTCCTCCTCCTCCTCCTACACAACTGCACTGACCAAATTCTCGGAGAAAAGTGAAAGGGGTGTGCAGCAGGAGAAGGTGAAGGTGCCCAGCCCTTCCCAGTCCATCCCAGCCCGTGGGACAGGCGGATCCTGGAGCTGCTCCCCGCGCTGGGCAGCGCCTGGGCAGCCAGGGGGACAGCGGGGACAGTGACAGTGGCACTGAGCAGGAGGCAGCAGCCCCCCGGGGCAGGGGGGATCCGGCACACCCAGCTCCAGAGGAGGGGCTGGCAAAGGCGCTGGAGCAGCCCTGGAGCACAGCTGGGAAGGATGGACACTGCTCTGGACACTCCAGTGGTCACTCCTCCCAGGACAGTGATGGCCCAGCTGCTGGCTCTGAGCTGTCAGAGGGGAGCAAGGAGTCCCCAGGGCAGGAGGAATCCTCCTCCTCCTCGGGAAGCTCCTCCTACACAACTGCACTGACCAAATTCTCGGAGAAAAGTGAAAGGGGTGTGCAGCAGGAGAAGGTGAAGGTGCTGGGGAGTGCAGCAGCAGCCCTGGAGAAGGGAAAGAAGGTGCCTGAGCTTGGCTGGTCGGATAACTTCTCTGATGGCCTGAGGAGAGGCCGTGCCAAAATCTCGGGTGCTCAAGATGTTCTTTGTGCAGCAGCTTCTGAGGCAGGCAGGGGAAGGCTGCAGGAGCCTGGGGTGCAGCCCAGGGGCTCCCAGGGGCTCCCAGCTGCTCCTGAGGAGCTGCAGCAAGCTCTGCTGGACCACCAGCAGCCAGCAGGGAAGCTGGGGACAGAGGGGCTGGTCCCTGCTGGGACACCCAGCCAGCCCCAGGACACTGCTCCATGCCCTGGGCATTCCCCAGAGCCTGCAGGGAGCAGGGATGAGCTGACTGGCTCTGACTGCTCCATAGAGAGGGGACACAAAGCCACAGAGATCTCCCCTTCCTTCAGCCTGGGGGGTGAGGGCTCCTTCTCCCTGCACCTGGCTCATCCCAACTTCCAGTCCACTCCAGGGGTGCTCCTCAAGAGAGCTGGGAAGGCAGAAGGACCTGCTGGAGTCCTGGTGATCCCTTCGGACCTTCAAGGCTCTCCTTCCTGTCCCAGTGAAGAAGCCCCAGGGAAGTCCCCTGTCCCTGGATCCCCTGGAGAGCAGCACCCTCCCCAGAGTGCTGTGGAAGAGACCTGTGGGCGTTTGGAGTCCTTGAGGCTGGAGTCCCCCTGCCCTGGCAGGGTGCAGTCCTTCCCTTTGCTGGGGCTCCAGGAGCAGCTGGAGTCCCCCTGCCCTGGCAGGGTGCAGTCCTTGCCCTCGCTGGGGCTCCAGGAGAAGGGAGAATCCCCCTGTCCTGGCAGGATGCAGTCCTTCCCCTCCCTGGGGCTCCAGGAGAAGGGAGAATCCCCCTGCCCTGGCAGGGTGCAGTCCTTGCCCTCGCTGGGGCTCCAGGAGAAGGGAGAGTCCCCCTGCCCTGGCAGGATGCAGTCCTTCCCCTCCCTGGGGCTCCAGGAGAAGGGAGAATCCCCCTGCCCTGGCAGGGTGCAGTCCTTGCCCTCGCTGGGGTTCCTGGAGAAGGGAGAATCCCCCTGCCCTGGCAGGGTGCAGTCCCTCTCCTCGCTGGGGTTCCTGGAGAAGGTGGGAGCCTGGGAGGTGGGCCAGCCTCTGCAGGGTCCTGCTGCCACCAGCTCCCGTGTGCCAGGTGGATCTCCTCCTGCAAGGACGGCCTGCAGTGCGTCTCCCAGGGCTTCAGGCTGTGTTTCATCAGCCCAGAAAAGCCCTGGGGACCCCGAGGGCCGTGCTGCCCCTGCTCTGAGCAGGTCGCAGTCTGACAGCACCGTGGACGTTCCCAGCAGCAGCAGCAGAGCCCTGCCTGCAGTGAGCCCTGCAGCAGAGGGCACGGGGGAGCCCCCGGGGCAGGAGAGCCCTGCTCTGGGGGCCTCTGACAGCTCCACCCCACCGAAGGTGCTGCCTGCACCTCGTGCTGAAGGTGTGCACAGCACCACGAGGCGAAGCTCGGCCCCAGACGTGTTTGTGTCCAGGGCTGCTCAGCTCCTTCAGAAGGACAGGAGCTCCCCAGCTGAGGAGCACCAGGACTGTGAGGAGAAGGGAAATCAGCCCCTCAGCCTCAGTATTCCCTCTGGTCACGACGTCATGGACAGCTTTGGAGCCGTTTCCTTGGAGAGTCTGAATTTTCCTGATGGTCCAGGGGAGCCTCAGGGGGCCCTGGTGGTGCCCAGGCCCTGTCCCAGTGCAGGAGGGAGAAGGGAGAATCCCCCTGCCCTGGCAGGGTGCAGTCCCTCTCCTCGCTGGGGTTCCTGGAGAAGGTGGGAGCCTGGGAGGTGGGCCAGCCTCTGCAGGGTCCTGCTGCCACCAGCTCCCGTGTGCCAGGTGGATCTCCTCCTGCAAGGACGGCCTGCAGTGCGTCTCCCAGGGCTTCAGGCTGTGTTTCATCAGCCCAGAAAAGCCCTGGGGACCCCGAGGGCCGTGCTGCCCCTGCTCTGAGCAGGTCGCAGTCTGACAGCACCGTGGACGTTCCCAGCAGCAGCAGCAGAGCCCTGCCTGCAGTGAGCCCTGCAGCAGAGGGCACGGGGGAGCCCCCGGGGCAGGAGAGCCCTGCTCTGGGGGCCTCTGACAGCTCCACCCCACCGAAGGTGCTGCCTGCACCTCGTGCTGAAGGTGTGCACGGCACCAGGAGGCGAAGCTCGGCCCCAGACGTGTTTGTGTCCAGGGCTGCTCAGCTCCAGAAGGACGGGAGCTCCCCAGCTGAGGAGCACCAGGACTGTGAGGAGAAGGGAAATCAGCCCCTCAGCCTCAGTATTCCCTCTGGTCACGACGTCATGGACAGCTTTGGAGCCGTTTCCTTGGAGAGTCTGAATTTTCCTGATGGTCCAGGGGAGCCTCAGGGGGCCCTGGTGGTGCCCAGGCCCTGTCCCAGTGCAGGAGGGGACAGCCCCATGCCCCCTGGAGCAGCCCTGGAGACTCCCAAGAAGGAAGAGTTGAATATTGAAGAAAGGATCCCGGTAAGTTTGGTTCTAGTTCCAGCTCTGCTTCCAGAGTTATCCATTTTTTTCCCCCAGTTATCCATGTTTTTCCCAGAGTTCACCATTTCTTTTGCCACAGTTATCCATTATTTTCAGTTATTTGTTTTTTTCAGCATTTTCCATTTGTTTTTCAGAGCTTTCCATTTGTTTTTCACTTTTCCATCTCCCCCCACTGCTCTTTTAGGAGAGGGTCTAATCACTACAAGCTCTGGTTTTACACATGGTTGTTCTGCAGTGAATTTCATCCATGATACTGGTTCAGCTTATCTTAAATAGAGGTGGAAAAATAACTTCTAGTAATATTTAACATGGACAAAGACAGGGTTGGATATGGGAAAGGCCTCTTGTCCTTGCCAGGGGTAGGTGAGTGTCAGGGTGTGGGAAATGGATTTGTGGAGAATTCTCAAAGCCTGAGAGAAGGCTCCCCCAGTGTGCAAACTGTGAGACAAGAAATGCTGACTTAGAAATGCCAGGGAATAGGACAGACACTGAGAGAAATGGAGCTGGAAACAGGTTTTAAAGGATGGCTTTGCAAACAAGACTGGACACTTTGGAGAAATAGAACTGTCAAAGATGCATTGTAGTGGGACCCAGGAGGGGTAATTTTGGATTATTGGCTTTAAGGCATTTACAGCATGGTGTGGCCAAAGGTGATAGACCAAGAAACACGTATTTGTAATGTGTATTGTACTTAGGAAATAGTTAACTCCTGATTGTGATGGTGTGAATTCTAACATCTGTAATGTCTCACCCTTCTCGTGAGACTGAAAATGGAATAGAAGTTTTGCAAACACCTCCCAGTTACCCTGTGTGGGTCAGAAAAGGGCTCAGTGCAGCACCAGGGGAGCAGGAGGAGAGAGAAGGGAGACGTGCAGGCTGTCTCACAGGTCAGGCTCTCCCTGTCCAAACGTGAGCTCAGGCTCTGGTGCTGAGTGAGGAGGGCTGAACCACCCCAGCTCTGCAGGACAGCACACCCAACACCACTCCTGGGAAATGAAATCTCTTTTTTCCTGTGATTTTCTCACTGCTTTTTCACTGTGTTCCAGTTTCTGAGGCCCCAGTTCTGAATGCTTGACGTGTTCCTCACGAAGGAGCTTTCAGAGCCTCTTGATCCCTTCTCTCCTTTCCGTCCTGTGGCTGACCCAGGTTTCTGCTGCGGCTGCAGCCACCTCCAGGGCATTAACAGCTGGGAGTGGTGGAGCAAATGAGATGCAGATTTATGGTAATGACTAGCATGTAATTATGCTCTGAGTAAGAGGCTGCTCCTCTCACAAGATGACTCCATAATCACCAGGTCTTTGGGAATGTGCTCTGGAAGCTCTTTTCACTCTGTTGTCCCTGCAAACCCGTGGTGAAACAAATATAAATATTGGAGGGAGGGTGTTTGAAATGCAGTTCATGAGACAGAGAGATGACTTCTGTTCCTGGCTATAATTACACACTCTCCAGCCTAGTTCTGAGCAATGCTGCTCCCATAAATCCTGGAAGGTGCAGGAGATCAGGTCACTTATCTGGCTGGTAATGTGGAAGTTTGTGATAAAATCGTAGGAAGTGGAGCTGGCTGTGATGTGTAAGGAATTTATTTCGTTTTCCTGGCTAGTTTAGGACATAGTGTGGATGAGTTGAAATTAATTTGCCATACAGGTGATGAAGTCAAGGCAAATTTTGGCTGGTTTTTTTCCTGCATATAAGGTCTCTGTGTAAACCAGCTCTGACAAAAGTGCTCCCAACTATCTGCCTGGAAGGTTTGACCCAACTTGTCCTAAAAAATGAGGAGCTTCCCTGCTGCTGCCTGGAATTCCCGAGCCTGCCACTGCTTCCTGAGCAGCAGCTGAGTGGGGAGGGAGAAGGCTTTGAACCCAAACCTTTGTGCTTTTGTTTTTACACCCAAACCTGTGTTTTTACCCCACACCTCTGTGTTTTTACCCCACACCTCTGTGTTTTTACCCACACCTCTGTGTTTTTACCCCACACCTCTGTGTTTTTACCCACACCCATGATTTTACCCACACCTCTGTGTTTTTACCCACACCTCTGTGTTTTTACCCCACACCTCTGTGTTTTTACCCCACACCCATGATTTTACCCACACCTCTGTGTTTTTACCCACACCTCTGTGTTTTTACCCACACCTCTGTGTTTTTACCCCACACCCATGTTTTTACCCACACCTCTGTGTTTTTACCCCACACCTCTGTGTTTTTACCCACACCTCTGTGTTTTTACCCACACCCATGTTTTTACCCCACACCCATGATTTTACCCCAAACCCGTGGTTTTACCCCACACCCATGTTTTTACCCACACCCATGGTTTCACCCACACCTCTGCGTTCCTGGCAGCGGGGCAGTGCAGTTCCCAGCAGGCGCGGCTGCAGCCCAGCCTGCCCTGGGCGGTGGGAGCGCTCACCCCGCAGTGCCCAGGACTCCCCGTGCCGATGTTGTGTCTCCCCAGGTGTACCTGCGCAGGCTGGGCATCGAGCAGTCCCCGGGCACCCTGCTGGCCCCCTTCGTGCCCCCCGCGCCCCTCCCGGAGCTGGAGTTCTCCCCCTGGCAGCCCCGGAGCCTGCAGCCCCCGCTGGGCGCGCTGGCCTGGGCCCCCCCGCCGGCTCAGGGTACGGGCTGGGGGCTTTGCTTCCTTGGCTTCGCTTGTTACACTGACTAACTATGACTGATGGGTAGCGTATGGTGGGCATTGCATGGTAGGATATGGTATTACATTACATCAGCTTGCATTATATTATGTCATATTGTATTACATGATATATGTATTATATAGTATAGTATATTATATTATATTATATTATATTACATGATATATGTATTATATATGATATTATATCATATTATATCATATTATATTACATGATATATGTATTATATAGTATATTATATTACATTATATCATATTACATGATATATGTATTATATTATATCATATCATATCGTATTATGTTATATCATATAATATTACATCATGTAATATGATATTATATAATACTATATCATATTATATTATATTACATCATATAGTATACTATATTATATCATATTATATTATATCATATAATATATTATATCATACTATATCATATTATATCATATATCATATCATATCATGTCATATCATATCATATGTTATTATATAACTAATATTAATAATGTATGTTATATATTGTTATAGAACTATAATTGTTATATATATAATAACTAATTATATTTAGTGAATAATTATTGGGTTAGTTTATTTTAATAACTAACTGTAATTAATTATTAATACTAACTGTATTGTTCTGTATATATTATAGAATATTATATATGTTAATAATATTATATATGTTCTATACTATTATATAATATTATTAATATATATGTTGTTATATTATTATTGTAAAAATTATAGAACAATTATTATTAATACTATAATATATATTATTGTTATTGTTCTATAGTGTAGCTAATTACAATTATAATTAATTAATAACTAAGTAGTGATTATTGGGCTAGGTTATTATTAATAACTAATTATTCGTGGTTTGTAATGTGGGCTTTTTCATTTAATTACATAATATTACTTAAACTTATGAGGAAGGTGAAGAAGAAGGATTAGTTACTGTTTTACAACTTTTGTTTTATATATGACCAAATACTATATAACACTATATACTAAACACTGCATAATACTTAATTGCTATATATTACTAAAGCTTCACTCTATATTTTTATATTTTTATAAAACGTTGCTATGTGTTACTGAAAGTTTAAATTCTGAGTTTTCTCCTTGGTGATGTTCCGTACGCGCATTGAGAGCATCCCCTCCGGACTCTGGTTTTGGGCCGTTCTGGGAGCGCTCCCCGCGGCCCGGCGGGCGCAGTGCTCCCCTGAGGGTCGCTGCTCGCTGGCACAGCAGGCGTGAGGCTCAGCGTGGGGTCCAGCCGGGGCACAGACCCCGCTCCCGGGCCCTGGCACCCGTCCTCTGCCATCCCCGCACACCTCTGCAAACTGCCCCCTGCTCAGGAGCGTGCCTGTGCTTTTAGACACGGCCCTCATTCCCCTTATTTCTCTGGTCCTTCAGAAGGAAATGGTTTGCATCCTCACGCTCAAGGACTGGCACCAGACTTTTTCTTCTTGGGACACAATAATTCTTGGTTTCTTTTGCATTCTGCCGTTTCTTGGTGTGTTCAGTGTGATGAAATGTTGTCAGTGTTTTTATAACTGACCAGATCTGATCCTAGCTCCATCCATCCATCCATCATCATCATCACCCAAATTACTGTGGTTGTGTAACACCCAGTCCTGCGAGAGCTCCAGGAGGGTTTGGACACTGCTCCAAACCCAGGTGCACAGGGTGGGATTGCGCAGGGCCAGGGGCGGGATGGATGATCCCATCCAGCTCTAGATATTCTCTAATTCTCTGATTAGTTTAGATTTTGTTTGATATTTATGTGAAGTACTCCTGAGATTTCTTTCAGGAGACAATTCTCACAGAAATCTTGTTCAAGTCTCATCCTAAGGAAGCACCTGAAATATTTTCCAGTATTTGAGTTCTTCCCTCCCTTTGTGTGCCCTTAGCACAGGAAGGGATGTTTGCTGTGTTCTGGAGCCTCCAGATATTCATTAGTGTTCTGTTCCTTTGCAGGTGCATTGCTGCCAGCCTTTGAGATGTCCCAGGCCAGCTTTGACTCGGACGTGTCCCCTCTGAGCGTGTCCCTTGCCGTGGGCTCCGAGGCTGGCTCGGAGCAGGACCAGGACCTGCTGTCCCCCCGGGAGCTCCTTGGGGACCCCCCATCCAGCCAGGGCAGCGTGGCAGGCCCCCAGCTGGAGCAGGCTGCCCCAGGTGGTCCAGCCCGGGGTGCAGAGGGGTCCCCTGGATGCTCTGGGGCACAGCAGGACCTGCCCAGCTGCTCCTCGGGCCGGGGTCCCCGGGCTGGGGGGAGAGGGGCTCAGGGTGCCCCTGCTGAGCCGGGGTCCAGCAGCTCGGGCAGCAGCCAGCAGGGATGGGCTGTGGGGGCTTTGCCTGGGGCTGGGAGTGAGATGGAATTGGACAGGGCATCCTCGAGCTCCGGGGTGGGAAGTGAGAGCAGCCAGGGCCAGGAAAGGGAGTCCCTGCTGGGACCTGGGGTGCTGCAGGAGCTCCGGGAGCTGCTGGCACAGGTGGAGGGTCTCACTGCCAGCTGCAGCCGTCCTGCTTGCCCCACAGCCTCCTGCAGGGAGCCTGGGGAGTCCCCCCCGGGGCTGGCTGGGAGGGAGGAGGATCCCAAGGATTCCAGGTTGGGCCAGGAGTGGATCCCCGAGCTGCAGAAGAGACTGTCGTGGGATGAGGCCGTGACCCCAAGGGGTGTGTGGGGACAGGGGCTGGGGATGCCCCCTCTGGATTCTGCCAGCTGCCAGCTGGCATGGGGACACCCTCTGGCTGTCAGTTCCCAGCGCAGGGAAGGGCTGAGGGGAACGGCCCAGGAGCCGAGGCCGGGGAAATCCGCGGGCAGGTCGGAGCCAGAAGGGTGCAGCAGTGTGACCACGGGGCTGGCACAGGGCACTGCCAGGATCCGCCTGAGCACTGGCACAGCTCCACAGCTGGGCCATCCTCCTGCCCCGGAGCCCCCGGGCACTGTCCCCGCTGGCCTGGGGGGCTCCCAGGGCTCCTGGTGCCAGGCTGGGCGGGCAGCAGCGCCACGGGGCAGCCAGGACAGCAGCAGCGGCGATTCCCTCAGTGCCCGGGTCTGGAGCCTCCTGCGGGAGCCTGGGCGCTGCCAGCAGCCGGGCAGTGCCCCGGGGGCGGTGCAGGGCAGCGTGCCCGCGGCTGGGGCTGCCCGCAGCCCGGCTGGCAGCAGCAGCAGCAGCCGCAGCAGCAGCAGCCGTGACTCGCTGGCTGCCCGTGTCCGCCGCCTCCTGGGCACCGCCGGCTCCGGGGCCCCGGCCAGCCGCATCCTGCGGAGCGCCGAGGAGCAGGAGAGCAAGATCCGAGGTGAGAACGCCTCTCAGGGCTTGGGGTCGTCAGGGGCTCGGCCTGGGGGGGTTTGTGCCGCTCAGGCTGCTCCCTGCTCGAAGGGGATTGTTGTGCAGTGTGCTGGGACCCTTTAACGGGACAGGGCTCCAGTGGGGGATGCTTCCCAGTCATCTCCTGACTATTAACGGATATCCCACTGAACTTCATTAGTAGACTTTTACAGCCTTTGGTGAGGAAAAGATGGGAAATAGTTTAAAGTTTAAGGAGATCAGGATTGACTTTGGAACAATTGTTCCAGTAAGACACTTCTTTTCTCTAAAGTGCTGAAATATTTTGATTGATCCCATCCAGCTACCTGCAGAACCCACTTAAAGCTTTGGTGAGGGTCCTGTGCAGTGCCTGTGGGGCAGGTTGGGGGGATGTTCTTTGGGAATGTTCAGGTCTGCCTCTCGCTTTCAGAGGCCACAGCTCCAGGAATTCAGGTGCCACTGGATTTTCTTGGCATTTCCTTGCTTGCCATGGCAGGGTGTGAACTCTGAGGGCACAGAAAGGAGCAGGACACTGGGGAATCTTCTGTGCTGTGATAAAACTGGGTAGAATTGGGCTTTTCCAGTTTGAAAACCTTCTTTTCCTGATATCACTGTAAGGAATTATTTTGTCCACACAGTTATTAAGTCAGGAATGTGGGAAGGGATTGTGTGAGTGAGCTCTGACTTGTGTGTGAGACTGAGGATGACAGAACCAGGGAAGAGTCTTAGACCCATCTCCCCAAATAAATGATTCAAGGAGCCATTTGCTGTTGTATTCCTGGTCGTTCCAGGAGCTCTGGAATTTGTTGTGGTCTTTGCTCTCTCAGCTAGGCTAACCAGAAATGCACAGCTTTGGCTTTAAGTTAAAAACTGTTCTCATGCACGAAATGGGAAAGGGAACCTCTCCTGGTTTGTGTTTTTGGCAGCCTGGGTGAAGCTGAAGCTGGCCAGCCAGTCCCAGGAGTGTGGGGCAGACTGGGATGAAGAGACCCAGCTCAGGATGGAGGGACTCAAGGCAGAGCTGCTCCCAATGAGCAGGGAACCCACACCAGCCAAGGTACAAACCAGCTCAGCTTGGGCTGTGCCTGCTCTTGGGGGGTTTTGGGGCTTTATGGTTTTCCCAGGCAGTTTGGGGTGGTTTGGCCGTGGGGGTGACACTCACATTCCCAGAGGAAGTGTGAAGGACAGAGGTTGGGGGGACAGTTGGTGCTGCTGTGGGAAAGTGCCCAACGCTCCTGGTGCTGGGTGGGCTGGGGCAGTTCTTTACGCAGAATGTTTGTGGAGGTGCTGACGGGGCCTGGGAAGGTCCTGGGGCTGTGGTGGGAACTGGGTGTGCAGGGAGCACCCTCAGCAGGGCGGGTGTGTGTGGGCACTGCCCTGGAGCGGGGCTTGGGAGGCTCCGGGAGGGAAAAGGGAAAAGGAAAGGGGAAAGGGAAAAGGGGAAAGGGGAAAAGGGAAAGGGAAAGGGGAAAGGGAAAGGGAAAGGGGAAAAGGGAAAGGGAAAAGGGGAAGGGGAAGGGAAAAGGAAAGGGAAAGGGGAAAAGGGAAAGGGAAAAGGGGAAAGGGAAAAGGAAAGGGAAAGGGGAAGGGGAAGGGGCTGCTCCTGCAGGTGAGGATGCTGGGGAGAGCAAGGAGTGCTGGGCACAGGATGCTCTCCGGAGAGCTGGGAGGTGTCTGTGGCAGCGTGGGGTGTCTGTGCTGGCTCAGGGATTTGGGCTCAGGGCTGAGGAGGTTCAGGCTCTGCAGCTCTGGTTGTCTGGGGGAACGAGCCCTGCAGCTGCCACGGTTGGTGCATCTCCTTTGGAGTGTTCTAGTTCGTTCTAAAATGCATGCCTGGGCTGGAATTGCTCTGAGCAGGAGTGTGTTACCTCTGTTTTCTCTTCAAATGCCATTTCTGGCACTGCTCTGGTCTCCAGGGTGATGAGGGCAAGGTTTTTAGGGACTGGTGGTTCAGACAAGTGCCCTGAGCTTTAGGAAGAGCTTCCTCTTGATTTTTTCCCTTGATTTTTTCCCTTGATTTTTTCCCTGTTTTCTTCCCCAGCCTGCCCGCCTCCCGGGAACAGCAGCAGGGGTTGGTTTGTTTGTTTTAATTAAAAGCCCTGCATTAGGGAAAGGGAAAAGGGGAAGGGGAAGGGAAAAGGAAAGGGAAAGGGGAAAAGGGAAAGGGAAAAGGGGAAAGGGAAAAGGAAAGGGAAAGGGGAAGGGGAAGGGGCTGCTCCTGCAGGTGAGGATGCTGGGGAAAGCAAGGAGTGCTGGGCACAGGATGCTCTCCGGAGAGCTGGGAGGTGTCTGTGGCAGCGTGGGGTGTCTGTGCTGGCTCAGGGATTTGGGCTCAGGGCTGAGGAGGTTCAGGCTCTGCAGCTCTGGTTGTCTGGGGGAACGAGCCCTGCAGCTGCCACGGTTGGTGCATCTCCTTTGGAGTGTTCTAGTTCGTTCTAAAATGCATGCCTGGGCTGGAATTGCTCTGAGCAGGAGTGTGTTACCTCTGTTTTCTCTTCAAATGCCATTTCTGGCACTGCTCTGGTCTCCAGGGTGATGAGGGCAAGGTTTTTAGGGACTGGTGGTTCAGACAAGTGCCCTGAGCTTTAGGAAGAGCTTCCTCTTGATTTTTTCCCTTGATTTTTTCCCTTGATTTTTTCCCTTGATTTTTTCCCTGTTTTCTCCTGCAGCCTGCCTGCCTCCCGGGAACAGCAGCAGGGGTTGGTTTGTTTGTTTTAATTAAAAGCCCTGCATTAGCAGGAGTGACAGTCAGTGCTTTAGGAGCACTCTGTGTTCAGAGCTTCTCTGGATCAGCAGTGCTGGGAGGAGACACAGCAGCTCCCAAAAGCCAGCAGGCCAAACTTCCCAGGTATTCCCAGACTGGTGGAATATCTGGGCAGCTGGGGAAAAAGAAAGTGACTATTTTATTTATAATTATTATATAAATAAATTATAAATATACGATAATATATTTTAATAATATATAACATATAAAGTTTAATATTATATATTACATAATATAGAATATTAAATATAGAATAGCATTATAAATATTATTTAACATTTTAGAAATTCACATTTCTTAAAATTCAGATTTCTTAAAAAGAGAAACAAAGCACAAACACAAAACCAGAGGCATCAAAGCTTTTCCCCCCAGCTTTTAGATTTTGTTTGGTCACAGCTTTGTCCCTAGAAAAGCTCTGTGCAGTGTGGAACCAAGGATTTTACCCTCCTGTGACTCAGTGTCAGCTGGGGATTGTTTTATCCCCCTTTAGAGTAAGAAGAAATTCACCATAATTTTGCAAACCAAGCTCCTGAGAAATTGCTTCAGTTCAACCACAGCACCTCGTGCTTTGATCTCAAAAACACTTTTGCACTGCAATGTTTTTAATTTGAGATTTAAAAAGGTTTGAATTTGCAGAGTGAAGGTCACTGGGTTTTTTTGTTGTACTTAAGATAAATGTGCTTCTCCCCCCAAGACAAACACTGTCACTGAAAAACACAGACTGTTCAGAACTGTTGCACTGAGAGAAACCACAGCCAGGCACAATATTCTCCTGTAAATTTGGTGGGAACTGTTGTGTACAATAAGGGTGGAAGTTTTAGAGCCAAAGTGCCTTGCATGGACTTAAAAAGAACAGAGCAAAGATTAGGAAAAGAATTTTCCTTCTCTGAAAATTTTAAGACCAAGGAAGACAAACTGTTCCTACAGCTGGGGCAAACAGCTCCTGTGCTGCCTGTGGGGCAGGCTGGGGCATTTTTTGGGAATGTTCAGGTCTGCCTCTCGCTTTCAGAGGCCACAGCTCCAGGAATCCAGGTGCCACTGGACTTGCCTGGCATTTCCTTGTTTGCCATGGCAGGGTGTGAACTCTGAGGGCACAGAAAGGAGCAGGCACTGGGGAAGTTCTCTGGGATGTTTTCCTTGGGAAGAGTTCCCATTTTCCCTGTGGGTTTCCCACGTCTGGCTGAGCAGAGGGTTCAGGAGGGGCCTGGGGTGGGCACAGCAAGGGGCTGCAAACGTGGAGTGCTCTGGAGGGCTCAAAACCCCTGGAATAGTCAACATGGACAGGCTGGAGAGCTGGGAATGTTCCCTGGAGAAGGGAAGGCTCCAGGCAGAGCTCAGAGCCCCTGGCAGGGCCTGGAGGGGCTCCAGGAGAGCTGCAGAGGGACTGGGGACAAGGCCTGCAGGGACAGCACACAGGGAATGGCTCCCACTGGCAAAGGGCAGATTGGGCTGGGATCTTGGCAAGGAATTCCTGGCTGGGAGGGTGGGGAGGGGCTGGGCTGGAATTCCCAGAGCAGCTGTGGCTGCCCCTGGATCCCTGGCAGTGCCAAGGCCAGGCTGGACACTGGGGCTTGGAGCAGCCTGGGACAGTGGGAGGTGTCCCTGCCATGGCAGGTTTGGAGCTGCTGTTGGATGTAAACACAATTCCAGCACCTTCAACCTCAGGATTTTCCTCCTAAATTGAGGACCTGATTCCCCACCTGTATTTCAGGGTGCCAGTGCTCCCTGTTCCCTTCCCTGTGAGTTCCTTCCCCCTTGGTGCAGTGTTTTCCTCCACTCCCTGCTGTACTTTTCCACTCTTGAGCTTTCTCACTTCTCCAGGAAGTTCACGGAGTTGTAGCTCTAAATTTGCTCTGCAGGCTCCTGTGGATCATATGGCACAGGGAGCTTTTTTGGAAGGATGACACATAACAGGCACAATAAAACATGTGAAAGGCTTGGGAAGATGAGTTTATCACAACTTCTGTGCCTGCTCTCGCTGGTGGGAGTTGCTCTGGATTACCTCAGGCCGTTGAACTGGCACGTGGTGCAGGGAGGAGAAGGTTTGGGATCATCCCTGTGCTGGCACAGCTCTGCTCCCTGTCCCTGTGCTCTTCCCCAGGCCCTCCTGGCTGCAGGAAGTGCCAAATAATCCCATTTGTTGCCTTGAAATCCATAAAGGAATAGAGAAGTGGGATAGTGATCCAGGCCCTGCTGGAGCAGTCGCTGCTGTCAGGACATCTGGGATGGAGAAGGGCTGGGAAAGCTCTTGTGAAATACTTGTTTATGTGTTTGCTTTACACCAAAAATGTTTCCCACTGCTTTTTGTTGCCAAATTCCCAGTGGTTGATGGGGATATAATCACCCAGGGGCCCGTGGTGCTTCATGACTGAAACACACTCTGCTGCTTCCACAGTTGGCCCAATCAGTAGGAAAAAGTAAATATAACCTAGATTTTTGTGTCTTTTTTCTGTAATTCAGCTTATCTGGCCCATCTCCATGGCAGCACATTTATCTCAGATTTACTCTCTTCAGTGGAAGTGTTGGAATTTTGGGTTACACTTGAATGAATAAATTTATGTTGGTGGTTGGAATCATGGAATCATTCAGGTTGGAAAAGACCTCCAAAATCATCGAGTCCAACCATCAACCAGCACCAAAGTATCCTCACGTGCCTCACCCACACATTTTTGTGCAATTCCAGGGATGGTGGCACCACCAGCTCCCTGTTCCAATGCCTGCTAACCTTTTCCAGGCAGAGATTTTCCCTGAGATCCTTTCTAAACATCCTCTGGTGCAGCCTGGGGCCGCTGCAGAAGCTCTGTGCACAGGAGGGTGGTGGTCTCAGCCCCACACACAGGGACAGGGGATGGGAGGGCTGGATCCCCATGGAATTGTGCCTGTGTCCTGTCCCTTGCCAGCATTCCCTGATCCTGCCCCAGACTGGGAACAGAACTGCAGGCAGGGGTGGGAGAGCTGCTGCTCCTGGCTCCTGCAGGCTGCTGTGCCAGGGACACCTCCCACTGCCCCTGGCTGCTCCCAGTGCCCAGCCTGACCTTGGGCACTGCCAGGGATGCAGGGCAGCCACAGCTGCTCTGGGAATCCCAGCCCAGCCCCTGCCCACCCTCCCAGCCAGGAATTCCTTGCCCAGATCCCAGCCCAGCCTGCCCTGCCAGGGCTGGGAACAGCTCTGGGTGACTGTGCAGCCAGGGCAGCTCCAGTGAGGAGATCTCAGCTCAGTGAGTGCTGCTCTTGCTGTGCTCCAGGGCAGCACCTCCTGTGGGCTGGGACCAGCACTGGCCCTGTAAATGGTAAATGGCTGGGAATGGTGGCTTGGCACTTTGAAAGGGTAAAGTTTCACTGGTTCCTTACCAGCTGGGTTCCTTCCCTTCCTGACAACAAACTCTTGGTTGGTCACAGCTCTCATCTTTGGCTTTTCCCATCCAGGTTTGGCCAGAGTGGGACGTTCTCACATGACCCCTGAACTGTGCTCTGTTTTTCAGGATCCCTGGCTCTGTGGTTTGGAAGCAGCTTCTGAGCACCTGAGGAAGCAGGAGCAGGACCTGGGGGGTGTCCAGGCTCCCAGGTGTCCCAGGGACAGGCATGGACAGCTCTCCAGGACTCGGGAGCTCCTCCAGCCCAGCTCCCCACCAGCAGCACCCTTCCCTAGAGCTGTTCCCTGGGATTGCTCCCTGCTGCAGGACATGCAGCTGAAACCCTGCAGTGCTGCTGAGATGAAGGACATGCAGCTGAAACCTTGGGGTGCTGCTGAGCCCTGGAACACTGCTGACCTGCAGGATGTGCAGCTGAAGTCTTGGGGTACTGCTGACCTGCAGGACATGCAGCTGAAGCCCTGGAACACTGCTGACCTGCAGGATGTGCAGCTAAAGCCCTGCAATGCTGCTGACCTGCAGGATGTGCAGTTGAAGCCCTGCAATGCTGCTGACCTGCAGGATGTGCAGCTAAAGCCCTGCAATGTTGCTGACCTGCAGGATGTGCAGCTGAAGCCCTGCAGTGTTGCTGACCTGCAGGATATGCAGCTGAAGCCCTGCAGTGCTGCTGAGCCCTGCCATGTTGCTGACCTGCAGGACATGCAGCTGAAGCCCTGGAACACTGCTGACCTGCAGGACATGCAGCTGAAGCCCTGGAACACTGCTGACCTGCAGGACATGCAGCTGAAGCCCTGCAATGCTGCTGACCTGCAGGATGTGCAGCTGAAGCCCTGGAACACTGCTGACCTGCAGGACATGCAGCTGAAGCCCTGCAATGCTGCTGACCTGCAGGATGTGCAGCTGAAGCCCTGGAACACTGCTGACCTGGAGGACATGCAGCTAAAGCCCTGCAGTGCTGCTGACCTGCAGGACATGCAGCTAAAGCCCTGCAGTGCTGCTGACCTGCAGGACATGCAGCTAAAGCCCTGCAGTGCTGCAGAGCTGCAGGTGCACAGGCAGCAGCCGGCCGTGGGGCACCCCAGTGCCATGGCAGAGCTCCGTGCCCCTCTGGCACGGGACCCCTGTGCAGGGAGCCCTGCAGCTGCCCCCCGTGCCCACGGGGAGCTGGGCAAGCCAGGCACCCCCATCACCCTGAGCCCCCAGAGCCTGGCTGGGCTCCTGCCCGGGGAGGAGAGGCTGGGCACAGAGCCCTGGCACAGAGCTCTCAGACAGGGCTGTGCCCCCTGCCCCGTGCTGGCTGGCACTGGGGGTGCTGCCGAGGCTGCTCCTGCCCCTGCTGCCAGGGCTGCAGCTGCAGCTGCTCAGGAAACAGCCCCGCAGCCCGGGGGCACCCACGCCGGGAAGAGACAGACCCTGAGTGCCAAGCAGCCCCAGCTCCTGCCTGCAGCTGTGGCTGAGGGGCACACACAGGGTGCCAGAGCCGGGGGGCTCAGCCAGGAAACGAAGCCATCCATTGAACCCCCCCCTCTGAGCCCATCCCAGCAGGAGGAGATCCCACCTGGGCACCCCCGGCTCCGGGGGGGCTCAGAGGGCCCGGGTGCAGCTGCACAAAGGGGCTTGCTGAAGGGCCCTGCTGGGGTCACAGCAGAGGGGAGGAAAGGCCCTGACCAGCCACCTCTCGTTCCAGAAGAGGCTGTGAGGGAGCAGATGGGTCCTGCTCACCCAACACCTGCAGATGAGGCTTTGTCCACCACGCCTGAGGCTCCCTCAGCACCGGTGAGGAGATTCCTGAGCTGTGTGCACATCACCCTCTCCTCCAGGGTCGGTCACCCCAGTGCCAGCAGTGCTGGGAACGGGGTCAAGGTGTGGGACAAACCTCAAGGCAAGGCTCGGGCAGTGGCTTTACAAGCAGCTCCAGAAGCTTCAGTGGAAGGTGTTCCTAAATCCCCTCCTGCTGAGGGTGTTCCAGAGGAGCCCAGCTCAGCTGGGCCAGCAGATCCCAGCCGGGTGCTTTCCCCCAGGCAGGAGCTGCTGCTGCAGGGCAGGGCCAGAGCCCAGCTCCAGGGCATCCCCAGCTCTGCCCCTCCTGCAAAGCCTGGCACAAGGACTTCTGATGCTGCCACCCAGATCACCACGGAGAGTCCTACAAAAGCCACGTTCTCAGCAGAAATCTGTGTTGATCCCCAGGAGGGGAGAAGTGCTGCCCAGCAGCCGTCGCTCCCCAGCAGCCCTGAAGCTCCTGGGATTGCAGCTCCATCCCACAAGGAGATTCCCCCCTTCCCAAGGCAGCCTGGTGAGCACATTCCTGTCTTGTGGGTGTCTGTGCACTTGAATCTGCACAAGGTCAAGATACTGATAAATGTCAAAGCCCAGAACCTAACCCAGCTTTTTGTGGAAATAACATCCCTGAGATAATTGGGATATTTGAAGTTGCTCGTATGTGGGGGAAACTCAACCCTTAAACTTGGGTTTTCCAGCCTTGTCAGGAGGGATTTGTGTGGATAGAGTTGGGATTCAGTTCAGGTTTCTCTAGAACTGAATTCTTTGTGTCCAAGTGTGGTTGGAGAGTATTTTCTGGTGTTGTGTGTAGATGGTTTGTTTGATTCACTTGGAGTTCATTGAGAGCTGGATCTGATTACTGATTTACTCTCTAGTAAATCTAGCCCCAAAAGATCAGAGGGAAGTCTGCACATTGCTGCTTTTAATAGAATAAAACAGAAAACTGCAGGGTTTGGGCTGTCTGTCAGCAGGGGGATGTGCATGTTCACAGGGTTTCCCACCCCAGGGGTGTTTGGTACTGGGCTCTGTTGTTGCTTTTATTGACTTGAGGGACACATCCCTGCTCCTTTAAAAAGAGCAAAACTGGGATCAGCTCTGTGGGTACAGGGGATGTTTCTGTAAGTCACTGTTTGCCCCCCTGATCACCATTTTAATATTGAATAGGTACAGCTGGTTTTCCAGGTAAGGGATGGTAACCTTCTCCCTGTGGGTGGGGATTAAAAAAACGGAAATATTTAAATTTAGCTAATGAAATAGCAATCCCTGTTGCTGAAGAACAGGGTATTCCTCAGGCTTTAGCAGCAGGAGCACCCTGAGCAGCCTGCCCAGGCCCTGCCCTGCTGCATGAGGGGCTCCAGCCTGGCTCCTGCTCACTGTTGGCCTTGCTCCCCCAGCCCAGCCCCTGCTGCTGCCCTACAAGCCCTGGGGAAGCTCTGGCATGTACTACGTGCCCTTCCAGAAAGCAGGAGGCAGCGTGTCCCCCGGGGAGCCCGAGGCCAGCACAGCCAGCTCCTGCTCAGGTACTGCACCTCCATCCAGGCTGGGTGGGTGTTCCTGTGGATTACTGCATTGTCTGTGAGCCACGGGGCAGCTCTGCCTGCAGGCTCTGCTCTCCTTTCGGGCTGGGAGGGGGTTCTTGCTGCACCTCCATCCAGGCTGGATGGCTGTTCCTGTGGATTACTGAATTGTGTGTGAGCCACAGGGCAGCTCTGCCTGCAGGCTCTGCTCTCCTTTCGGGCTGGGAGGGGGTTCTTGCTCCACTCTGAAGTGGAAGGGAGCAGCACTCAGTGTTTACAGCCTGATCATCCCTTGCTTTCCTCTGGGAATTACTGCTCACTCGGGATCCTTGCAGATCTCTGACACTTGTCCTGCAAAGAGTGGATCACTGGGTTTATTACAGGTTTTCACAGGTTTTTATTGCAGGTTCTCACAGGTTTTATTTGCAGGTTGGTTTCACTCAGAGCTTTTTAATATCCAGAGTTTGGTCTGTAGACAAAAAGAGATTCCAGTTCCTGAATTCCAGCAGTGCTGACCGAGGGATCAGGCTGATCCAACAGTGCCAGAAGTGCCCAGATCAGTCACTATGGCCACAAATTGTGCTGGGCATGGTTTAGGCATCTCTGCTCTTGACCTTTTTCAAGTTTATCTAGGGAAATGTGTCCAAAATGAGAGAAACAAATGTGATGCAAATCTGTTGTTTTGCAGAAATGATGGTGCCATATATAAAAATTCACTATGCAAATGAAGCAGCACAAGGTTCTAGGAAAACGTACAGCAGGATGGAAAAATACATTTTGTTTTTCCCAGTCCCTGCTGCACTCAGGGCTCAGCTCAGGGGGAGCAGCTGAAGGAACTGAGTGCAGGAAATCCATGGGATGTAACCAGGAGGGGTTGGCAAGGAGGAGAAATTGGTGGGGACAGTTCTAGGCTTCTAACCTTGAGACAGGCGTGGGATCATGGAGTCATGGAGTGGTTTGGTGGGAAGGACCTTAAAGCCCATCCCATCCCACCCTGCCATGGCAGGGACACCTGCCACTGTCCCAGGCTGCTCCAAGCCCCATCCAGCCTGGCCTGGGACGCTGCCAGGGCTCCTGATTGCAGGTTACTTGTGCCATTTCTGTGTCTGCTGTTGCACTCACGCTGCTCTCTCTCTGCAGGCTCAGAGGATGCTCCTGCTCCAGGGATCCTGGCCCGAGTGCTGCGTGTGGGGCATGAGCCCCCTCCAGCCAGGGCAGCTGCCCAGCACAGAGGGACAGGCCATGGTCACAGGCCTAAGCTGGCCTGGGCTGAGGAGCACAGGGCACCACTGGAACAGTCTGCAGGTAATTAGAATGTGGATTTAATTTTGTAATTGTTTCTGTGTGTTCATACATGTGAAGGAAGTCAGAGCAAAAGATTTGACGCTCCAGGATCCGTGGTTCTGGTGACATTGCTGAGTCTGCTGAGCCAGACAATGCTGAATTTGACTCCATTTTCTCTTCCTGTCTTTCTGCTTCTCCGTGACTGATAAAATCCAGGTTTCCCTTGCAGGCTCGGGACTCTGCATCCCTGGAGTGTCCCAGGCCAGGCTGCCCAGGGCTGGAGCAGCCTGGGACAGTGGGAGGTGTCCCTGCCGTGGCAGGGGTGGCACTGGGTGGGATTTCAGATCCCTCCAACACAGCCCATTCCAGGATCCCATGGAAAACTTGGCCATCAGTATTTGCTGGCATTCCCATGTCTCCAGGGATTGTCAGGAATTCCCTGTGTCTGCAGCCAGCTGGGATTCCCTGAGCAGGGAGGTCACTGCCCCTGCACTGGGCTCTGGTGAGGCACACCTCCAGGCTGTGCCCAGCCCTGGCCCCTCGGTTTGGGAAGGACTTTGGGACACTGAGCCCATCCAGAGGGGACAGCGAGGCTGGAGAGGGGCTGGGAACACCAACCCTGAGAGGAAGCCCTGAGGGAGCTGGGGGTGCTCCCCTGGAGAAAAGGAGACTCAGGGCTGCCCTCCTCACCCTGCACAGCTCTGGAAGGTGCCTGTGCTCAGCTGGGCTGGGCTCTGTCTGCAGGGACTGACACAGCCAGAGCACACAGCCTCAGCTGTGCCAAGGGAAATTCAGGCTGGAGAGCAGGAAAGAGTTTTTCCAGCAGGGTGATAAAGTTCTGGAATGGCTGCCCGGGGAGGTGCTGCAGTCCCCATCCCTGGGGTGTTTAACACAGCCTGGATGTGGCACTGGGGGCCAGGGTTTAGCTGAGCTGTTGGGGCTGGGCTGGACTCCATGGTCTGGAAGGTCTCTCCCAACCTGGTCATTCTGTGTAAAATTCTGTGAGCTGGGCTGGGGCTGGGGCTGTCCCTGCCCAGGGACACTCTGCTGTCCTGTGATGTCACATCAGGTTCCTCTGTGCCCTGCGTGTCCCCAAGCTGCAGTCAGTGTGCTGCTGTCCCTGTCCTACTCTGTCCCTTCCCTGCCCTGTCCGTTCCTGTCCCTGTCCTGTCCTGTCCCTGTCCCTGCCCTGCCCTGTCCCTGCCCTGCCCTGTCCCTGCCCTGCCCTGTCCCTGCCCTGCCCTGTCCCTGCCCTGCCCTGTCCCTGCCCTGCCCTGTCCCTGCCCTGCCCTGTCCCTGCCCTGCCCTGTCCCTGCCCTGCCCTGTCCCTGCCCTGCCCTGTCCCTGCCCTGCCCTGTCCCTGCCCTGCCCTGTCCCTGCCCTGCCCTGTCCCTGCCCTGCCCTGTCCCTGCCCTGCCCTGTCCCTGCCCTGCCCTGTCCCTGCCCTGCCCTGTCCCTGCCCTGCCCTGTCCCTGCCCTGCCCTGTCCCTGCCCTGCCCTGTCCCTGCCCTGCCCTGTCCCTGCCCTGTCCGTCCCTGTCCCTGCCCTGTCCTGGTTCTTGCCCTGCCCTGCCCTGCCCTGCCTGGCTGGAGGAGCTGCCCCGGGAGGAAGGGCAGGGTTTGCACTCCTGGCTGTGTTTGCTGAGGATGCTCCCAGGGGAGTCAGGCTGAGCCCGGCCCTGGGTGCCCTGGCTCTGGTGGCAGCAGCTGAAATAACCCTGGTGGGCACTGTGCAGCACAAGCCCTGACTGTGAGTGCTGGTGCTGGCTTTTGCACACAGGAGGCTGGAGCAGACCACTCCTGGCTGGCTGCATCTCTCCTGCAGCAGCTGCTGTCCTGATGGTTCCTGTCCTGATGGGTTGAGAGGGTTTCCATCTGATCATTTTCTTTTTTCACTTGAGGTTGGGTTTTTTCCCTTGAAGCTCTTCCTCTCTTCCTTTTGGTGTTTCCAGAAGACAATTTTTATTTGCACAGGAAAATTGCAATGGTTATGTAAGGCTGCAACATCAATAACCTGGATAAAAACGAGAGGGGAACAAAAGTGTTAACATAAAATTATCTCCTAACATTTTTTTTATTGCTGTGATGGTCTGAAGGCCCATCACAGCAAGGTAAGAAAAGAACTGTAAGGAGAAAGAATATTTTGTGAAGGCAGCCAGTGCAGCTGGAACTTTAAAGAAGCTTTCAGAAGAAAGACTTGCCTGTCTTAAATCTTCCCTGACTTCTTCAACTGTATTTTTAGATGATCTAATATAAGATTACCTCTACCCACAGAGCTTGTCTAGAGCTTAAAATTATGCAAGTTATGTATTTTTTTTAAAAAAAAAAGTTTCTCTATACAAACTTATTTTTTGCCTGTTTACATTCCTTCCATTTCTTGGTAACTTTCTAAAAAGCCAGGAATAGCAAAGTTCTGCCTGGCATTCCCAAGCCTGATCTCATTTGTCAGGAGGATGTGGAGGAAGCCTCTTACACAAGTTTATAAACATTGCCCTTGTATGGGAAGAAAAATTCCTGCACTTCCAGAGTTAGTGAGGCTGGGCCTGGCTGCAGCATCCGTGATCTCTGTGTTCCACCACAGCCCCTGTGCTGGGAAGGGAGGAGATGCAACCACCCAGGCCTTTCTACAAAAAACACATGGCACATTTTAAAACTGGATGGTTTTCAGATATTAAAAATCACTAAAGCTGTTTTGGAGAGCGGTCCTGGCTCGTGCTGTGTGTGTTTCATGGATGGCCAGGGCATCCCCATCCCTGGCAGTGTCCAAGGCCAGGCTGGCTGGGACAGTGGGAGATGTCCCTGCCCGTGGCACTGGATGGGCTTTGGGGTCCCTTCCATGACTAAATAAAGGCTCAGTTCAGGGTTGGTCAGGGCACTTCCCTGAGGTGGAATTAGACTCCTCCCCAGATTCACTTGGATGGAATATTCCCTTGGATTCCATGTTGCAAAAGATAGAAAACATTTGTTTATGTGATTTTAATAATGCTCAAAGCTCATCTCCAGGTTCACTGCGTTTGGGAATGAGCTCGGTGATCCTGCTTTTAATCCTTTGTGGTGTTTTGGGAGCTTTAGGATGAAAATCCTCCACTTTAAGCAGAGCAGCAAAGCATTGAAGTGTTGTGTGTCTTGCAGAGCTCCCAGCTGGTTCCTGGCGTGTAGAACCCTCCCGTGGTGTCCCTGAGCCCCGCGCCATGCCCGCCGGGCACAGCTGCTGCCAGCGTCGCAGAGAGCTCTCCAGAGCCAGGGATGAACACCCTGCCCGCTGCCAGCGGGCTCCCCGTGCCCCCCAGGGCACAGAGGGGCAGTTCTTCGCCCTCCCTGCAGAGGCTGATGACAGCAGGAGCGAGGAGCCCAGTGCCAGGGCGTCCTTTGGGCACGGGGCAGCTGGCACGGGGCTGCACCGCGGCGCTGCTGGCGCTGACCCTGGGCCGCGGGGCCCGGCTGCTCACCTGCAGGAGAGCGGGGGGAAGGCACCACGGCAGAGGGGCCACGCCGGGGGCAGCCTGGACGAGCTGTGGGTGAGGTTCCTGCAGCGCCAGGGCACGCAGCAGCAGCTCCGCAGGAACGGCGAGCTGTCCCTCGTGGAGCGCCTGGATCGGCTGGCCAGGCTCCTGCAGAACCCCATCAGGCACACCCTGGCACCCACAGCAGCTGGGGAGAAGGTTCCTCAGGAGGAAATCCAGGGAAGGGAACGGCCAGAAATCGGGCTGGCAGGAAAAGGCAGCTCTGGGAGCGGCGGGGAGCCGAGGGGAGCGCGAGTGGGACAGAGCCATGGCAGCAGCAGCCCGGGGGAGCCCAGGGCAGCCAGGCCGGGGCAGAAGGTGATCCAGCACCTGAGCAGGATCCTGGAGGAGCAGCAGCACCTGGGGATCCCCAGTGACAGCTCCTCGGAGACCAGGCTGAGCGGAGAGCCCAGCAGCTGCAGCACCTCGGCGTGGGACACGGGGACCGGGCTGGACACCTCCCCTGCCTCCGGGGACAGCAGCTCCCTGTCCCTGTCCACCATCGACACGGCCAGGCTGCTCCGGGCCTTCGGGCAGCACAGGCTGGCCCCAAGCACCGACACCCCGAGCCCACAGCTGTCCCCAAGGCTGTCCCCAAGGCTGGCCCAGCTCTACTGTGCCATCAGCCAGCAGAAGAGGCGCTCCGAGAAGTGGCACGGGCAGAGTGGAGCAGCAGGGGCTGGGGCATGTCCCCAGGGGGCTGCTCAGAGCCTCGGGAAGCACCAGCAGAGCCAGGTAAGAGCTCCCTGAGCCCAGCCCTACCCCATCCCCACGGGAATCCCCACTGCTGCTGGCTCTGTGAGCTGGGAATCTCAGAGTCACTGGGAATCTCTGGGAATCTCTGAGTCAATGGGAATCACTGGTTTGTAGGGGATCACTGGTTCTGCCATCCATGGGGGCAGCCCCAGCCAGGGTCCTGCAGGAGCCAGGGCAGCAGCTCAGGCTGGCAAACACCACCTGGGCTTGCCTTCCTTGTCTCTATTCCCTTGGGAACAGATCCTGCTGTCCCTGAGCCTTGGGAACAGATCCTGCTGTCCCTGATCCCTGGGGACAGATCCTGCTGTCCCTGATCCCTGGGAACAGATCCTGCTGTCCCTGAGCATTGGGAACAGATCCTGCTGTCCCTGAGCCCTGGGGACAGATCCTGCTGTCCCTGAGCCCTGGGGACAGATCCTGCTGTCCCTGGTCCTTGGGGACAGATCCTGCTGTCCCTGGTCCTTGGGGACAGATCCTGCTGTCCCTGAGCATTGGGAACAGATCCTGCTGTCCCTGGTCCTTGGGCACTGCCCAACATGAGGTTGTAAATCTGATGGAAATTGCAGCCAGGGCATCCCTGGGCAAGGATCCACACAATTTTTGGAATTTCCCTGCTATTAGGCTTGTGAAAAATTGTAAATTGTTTTGTCTGGTTGGTTGTGGATTTTTTTCTTTAAAGAGCTGAGAATTCCAGGTGAGAACTCTGCAGCTGTTTGGAAGGGGAGGGAAGAATTCCTTCAGGTGAATTCAGCTGTTGCCCTTGGCAGGAGAAATGGAAATGTTCTTAAAGAGGATTTGGTGATTTCAGTAAGGAATTACAGAGTTCAGGGTTCTGTGATACACAGGAATGCTGAAAAGCAGAGGACAAGTGAGGAATATTGAATTACTTTTTTCATTTTCTTGTATCTCCAGATTAAAGTGGAACTGGTGTCATTACTACCAGATTTAATTGAAATCAGCTATTCTATTTTATAGAAATAACTCCAAGTCTGTTTGTCAAATAAGCCAGTGAATTATGAAATAATTAAAAATAATGCCAATAACTACATAAATCTGGGGGAGAAACAATCTTTTTGAAGGTGAAGAATGGTTTAAAAATATTTTATTCAATATTTTTATTCATAACATTTATTTGAAGGTAAAACAAAACTGTCCTGAACTTTGCAATGTTAGGACTATTAGCCAGAACAGCAGCATTAGGATCCAACATTTCTGGCACAGTTGTAGAATTCAGAAGATGATTTTATTCCACCTTCCATTCAGAAGATGAGTTTTTCAGGGTCCATTGAACCTTAAACCCAAATCTGATTTTTTAACCTGTTAAATCACCTGTGAAATGACAAATGGAATTAATGCTATGGGGAATAAACCCTTTAAAGGCTCATTGAACCCCCATGGCTTTAGAAACTCACATTTTTTATCTGCTGGTGAAATATTCTTTTAGAAAATCCATCTGAGGATACGTGACCCTCCTCAAATAAGAAGTGAGAGAAGATAGATGGCAAAATATAAAAATTTAATTAAAAATTCCAATTTTGGTCACTTCTGGGCTGTTTAGCTGAGGAAAAGTGAAGATTTATTTGTATTTTTAGTGCAAATGTGTGGTTTGAGGCAGGTTTCCATCCCTGCTTCCAGAGAAGCTGCTTCCAGCTTTCTGCATGAGCATCCCTGGAGGTTTTCCTCCTGGAGCTGCCGTGTGGCAGCAGCTGCAGAGCTGAAGTGGAGAGCAGGGAATACTCCCATCCCACCAGGAATATTGCTGGCACTGCCCAGGCTGCATGGAAGTGCAGGGAAGGGCATATCCTGGGGGTTTTCTCCCTGCTCTTAAACATTTTTGCTGGGCACATAATTCAGATTCACACGTTCACAATACAAATGCTGACATGTTCTGTTGTCTGAAAGGAAATCCATATCCATGCATCTGTGAGTGCCTCTCCTGCAGCTGGGACAGTTACAGGGGATTAAGGAAAAGCAGGTTTATGAGAGCCAAAATGGCCTCCTCCTGGTATTGGAGTTTTGTTTGGGGTGATAGAGCTGCAGTAAAAGGGAATGAAGAGCAGACCTCTGCATTTCCGTGGTGGCTGGTGCTGGGGGTTACTCACAGGACAGCAGGTAATTTTCTCCAGGTTCCTGATTGCAGTTCTGTAATTAGAGCTGGAGCTCAGGGGAGCTGTGGGCACTGTCAGGGTGCCCTGGGAGCCTGGAGGTGCTGCCAGGTCACTGGTGTTAATAAAGCCCACAGAGCCAAGGCTTGGCACAGCCTTCCTGCTTTTAATGGCTTTATTAATTGAAATTAATGTGTGACCTGCAAGCTGTGTCCAGCCCTGCAGCTTTCACACCTGGCTTGGTGTGAAGGAAGGTGTGAGACTCCCCGGTCCCTCCTGTTTCTCGGATTTATGCAGTTGAATTTCTCCCACCTGGAGGACTCTGGTGAGGATCACAGGGTGAGGGAGAGCTTCCCCTGCTTCAAAAGGGTTTTGCCTGCCCACCCTCCCAGGGAGCAATTCCTAATCCCAGTATCCCATCCATCCCTGCCCTCTGGCAGTGGAAGCCATCCCCTGTCCGTCTGTCCCTTGTCCCCAGTCCCTCTGCAGCTCTCCTGGAGCCCCTCCAGGCCTGGAAGGGGCTCTGAGCTGTCCCCTCAGCTGAGCAGCCCCAGGTGGGCTGGAGGATGCCCAGTGCTGTCCTGACTGATCCCAGCAAGCTGCTCCCACAGAAATATTGTGCTTTTATCATGTAAATAATGTGCTTTTCACTAATGTACCAAAGTGGGCTGCTGGAAGTGCACGGGGTGGAGCCAGGGCTGGCTTTTGTGAGAGCAGTGGGACGGATCAGCCTGGGCTCTGACAACACTGACAACAGCAGAACCGAGGTGCAACGAGGGAAAAGCAATGACTTCCTTCTGTTTAAATGCTGTTTGCTGCTCTTTTGGGTTGGAATTTCAGGAACTCCTGTTCCCTTGCCTGTTTTTGTAGAGCACCATCCCCTTCTCCTCGGATTCCACCTGTGCCAGCAGCAGCTCCTGGGGGCCCAGCTCTGCCCTCAGCCACAAGAGACGGACACGGATGCTGAGCAAAGGCATCCAGGCAGGTGAGGCCCTGAGTCCCACACCTCCCTGGGCTGCTCCTGCCTCTCCTGCCTTTGGAACCCCTTCTCCCCAGTTCCTGGTGATGGGTCTGTGCAGGCAGCACCCTCCAGACTCACTCCAAGTGCTGTCAGGGAAGGGTGATGTGTTCAGTGAACATGAGCTGTTTATTTGCCATTCTTGGGCTGCTTTAAAAGCCAATTTTCTCACTTGTAAAGTTTATCAAGCTCAGCTTCTGCTCTATTTCTGTGGCAAAGGTGAGCTGCCTTTTTTTATCTATTGTTTTTTCCCCAAGACATCTGTTCCTCCCAGAATGGGTTTTGTAGGCATATGCTATTTCAGAAGGCAACTGCAGTGTTCCGTGTTCTTCCTGGGAATATTTTGGGTGTTCAATGCTATTTCAGTCCCGAGCTGCTCCTGGCCTGGTGCAGTTCTGCAGTTGGGTTTTTTCTGGTGGCAATTAGCAGTTTCTTCATTGCTTTCATTTCCACGCCAACTCCCCATCATCACATTGAGTAATGGCCTTGGTTTATTCATCAGATACAGCAATTATTTATTTATTCCTGCTTGTGTGCAAGCAGATTGAATCAGGGAAGGATTTTCATAGTGCAGAGTTAACTCCAGTTGAATTCCCACCCCCAGATAAATGTACATTTTGCTTGGGGTATTTGGTTTTAATTTCCCTCAGATTATCATGCAGTAACAATCCCGAGCCACTGGAAACTCTCCTTGGTTTGGGGAAGTGTAAAATACGAATATAAAAGGTTTGGACTGCTGGAGGTGGGTGAGGCACTTCACTCTGGGCTGGCGTGGGGTCGCTCCCTGCCCTGGCACACGGGACTGAGACTTCCCTGCTTGGTTTCCATTCCAGGGGACCTGGAGATCGTCAGCAGTGCCACCAAGAAGAACACCCGGGACGTGGGGGTGACCTTCCCCACGCCCAGGAGCAGCCAGCAGCTGTGGGAGCCCCTGGGACAGGGACAGGGGACAGGGACAGGGACAGGGGGGAGCCTGGCAGCAGCCCCGGGCACTGCCGGGCAGGCTCCGGACAGACACACGGACCAGGAGGAGCAGGCTGCACTTCCAGCAAGGTCAGCACCCTGGGCAGGGCTGGGACACCTGGGCAGGGCTGGGACACCTGGGGCAGGGCTGGGGACATCTGGGCAGGGTTGGGGACATCTGGGCAGGGTGGGGACTCCCGGGGCAGGGTGGGGGACACCTGGGGCAGGGCTGGGGACACCTGGGCAGGGCTGGGGACATCTGGGCAGGGTGGGAACAGCCAGGGCTGTGTCACAATCCGTGGTGGTGGTGGACACAACCTGCCCCAAGAGCACCCTGTGCCAAGGGGCAGGAGCCACGAGAGCACAGCACACACACTGATGTGTGGACAGACAAATCTTCAGCTAATTAAAGTTGAAAGGTGGAGTGTTTATTATAGCACTGGGTACAAGGGGAATAATTTCTAAAGGTATGTGTGCTCTTCAAGTGTCTAAACTTCCTTTTTGTCCCTTAACCTGTAGCATATGCATTAAGTTTCACAATAGATTTTTGCATATTTATTGATCACAATTAGTTCTGATCAGTTCTTGTGCAGAGAGCTCTCTAGTTGTCTATCCATCTCCTGTAGCTTTAGTTTTGGTTTGCTTCTTGTTTTAAGGTCCAAGGGGCCTCTCCTATTTTCTTCTGGCTCGGAAGTTCACATTCTTTTCACCTTGTTTGAGGCAGTTTTGGGAGCTGTAAGCTTTTGCAAGCACAGGGTTTTTACAAGTACAGCAAATGAATATACAGATGAAACAAGTCAAAGCAGCACACTTCACCTAAATCTGGAATGGGTTTCTAGCCTCAGTTAATTCAGCACCTCATGTGTCAACACACACAGCACGGGAGGGTCCAGGCACAGAGTTCCAACGTGCTTTATTTCAGACAGTGCTGAAATGGTCTGGGGCAGGGACGAGCACAAAGGAGGGTCCAGGCTGTGAATGCAGGAGCAGGGAGTCAGGGATCCAGTGGTCTGAGGGCACAGGGCTGGCACACAGGGAAGGGACCGACGGTGTTGCAGGGTGGTAGAGATGCTGCAGCCTCCTTGGAGGTGTCTCCTGCAGCAGCTGCTCAGAGTCAGGCCATGGGAACAGCCATTCCCAGTCCATGCACACACCCCACAGACAGCTCAGCAGAGCAAGGACAGGAAGGGTTACTGTGTGATGTATTCCAGCAAAGGTTTATCCCAAAGCATGCTGAAGGGATCAGGGACAAAGCCAAAACCGTGGGGTCTGCACAGGTTCAAGTGTGGGGTCAGTGACCTGAGGCACAGGGGTGGGCAAAGGGCAGAGGATTCCACTCAGTGGGGGATGTCAGGGTGGATGGGCAGGGTTACACAAACACACCAGTGGGGTAACGGGGAAGGGAGAACGCTCTAGAACATGTAGGGAAGGCCAGTGGGCAGGACAGAACTGGATAAATCCCACAGAGCTGCAGAGCAGCGTGGGGGAAGCCTCCTTGCTCACCCTGAGCTGTGAGGAGTGCCCCGAGCCTGAGGTCACCTCTCCAGGGCATCCCCCTGCCCTTCCCCTGCAGGCTCTTGGCTCTGCACAGGGCTGACCCTGCCGCAGCCTCCTCCTGCTGGGATCTCAGGGGAGCTCACAAAACCCTGCCGGGGTGCTGCTGCTGACTCCTGATGGCAGTTCAGCCACGAAAGGGCTGTTACAGCAGGAAATGCAGTCATTAGGGAGGAGTAAACAAGGTGGAGAGGTGCTTAACGTGAATTTCTGAGATACAAAGGGTTCTGGTAAACTCTCAGTGCTGGTCACCAACTTGTCCTTAATGTCTCATGCCCTGAGGCTTCCCAGAAGATTTTTCCAGAGTACTTGGTTGAAAATTGGGAAGAACTTGACTGTTTTTGAAAGATCTATTTTTAGGCTGCTGGTGGAGTCTCCTGACGTTTTCTTTTTTTTCCCTTTTTTTTTTTTTTTTTTTTTGTCTCTTAAATTCCTGCCACTCTTCACAACGTCACAATTAAATGTTTAAAAATATTTCCCTTACTCATCACTGTTGTTGTTGTGGGGACTGATCATTCTCTCTCATAAGGGTTTAATTTAGAAATTTCAGAATATCTGCTCAGAATCCCAGCTGATGTATTCACATCATTGTGTGTGTAAACTGTGAGTAACTCAATTCCTGGAGACACGTTGAGCATTTGGGAGATGGAAAGCATATGATCTTCCAAAACATGGATGAAGAGCCACAGGGCTTAGCCCAGCAGAAAGGCTCCTTAAAAATGTGTGATTGCTGGTAAATAACTGTTCTTTCCATGGAGGGAAACATGGAAAGTGAACAGTTCTGGGCTTTTCAAAAGTGGTGTTTGATAAAGGCTTGCTAGGGAAGGAATTCTCTTGAGCCTGCCCAAGGCTTTTCCCACAGAAATTCCCCTGAATTGAGCTGCAGTGAGGGGTTGCTGCAGTGCTGGCACTGGCTGGGTTTAGCTGCAAACCTGGGCACTGCTGTGCCCTAACCCCAGCTGCACCTGAGCCCCCTGGCCCTTCCCTTCTGAGGGATGTGGGACAGGATGGGAGCATGAGAGTGGGGAAACCACTGGATTGGGATAGAGACAGGATAGAAGGGAAAGGAAAAGCCACACAAACACAGCCAGACAAGGAATTCATTCTCCACTTGAAGAATCCTGGAATGGGTTGGGTGGGAAGGGACCTTAAATGTCATCCAGTGCCACCCCTGCCATGGCAGGGACACCTCCCACTGTCCCAGGCTGCCCTTGGGCACTGCCAGGGATGCAGGGCAGCCGCAGCTGCTCTGGGAATTCCAGCCCAGCCCCTGCCCACCCTCCCAGAGAACAGTTCCTTCCCCATACCTGGTGTAAACCTGCCCTCCTTCAGCTTCAGACCATTTCCCTTGTCCCAGGTCCCTCTGTGCCTCCTTGGAACCCCCTGTAGGCACTGGAGGGACCCTGGAAAGCCCTTGCCCACTTTCCCATCCCCAGGAGAGCTCCATTGTGCCTGATGTGACTTGGGAGGTCAAAGCACTGTCATTCCAAGTGCTCCCCTTCCTCTTCCCTCAGCTCTGCCTCCTGACCGTGATCTGGGATGCCCCTTGGGTCAGCTGGCATCACCTCTCCTGGCTGTGTCCCCTCATTCCTGCAGGAAAGACCATGGATTGGGATGGACAACAGGCACAGGAATTGCCTCAAATCTTCTTTCTCTTCTGTGTTCTTCTAACAGGGACTCCATGGCTCGTCCCAGCAGAGGGCCTGGAATGTGAGTCGAGGAAGGAAAACCAGTGCAGTGCCACTCCTGGCCCTGGGCCAGCCTGGTTTGAGCCCTGGAGCAGCACAAAGCCCTGGAGAGAGCCCCTGCGGGAGAGGAACTGGGAGGAGCAGCCCAGCCTGGGCCAGGGAGCCGCGACAGCCACGGGGGCTGGCAGGGGGCTGGGGCAGCCCCTGGGCAAGCTCACGCTGCAGGTGAGGCCACGCTGAGCCAGGCACTGCTGGGCCCTCCACATGCTCATGGCAGTCTGGCTTTCCCCAGGATATTTAAGTTATTTCCCCAGTATTTGACTTGGTCTGGTGTTACAGGGATTAAACCCCTTGGCTTCAGGAACCAGGGGGATGTAGCTGACAGAATGTCCCACCGCACTTGTTTCCATGCAGAAACAGTACTGAGGTGTACATAGTATGAGATCAAAAAGAGTTTTTATTATTATTATTTGGGTTTTTTTCCTTTCTGGCCAGTTTATTTCCACATTGTTAAACCAGAGGCTCAGAGGCTGCTGGCCTCCGAGCACCTACCCAGCCGTAAGGACAGGAGTTTTATATTGCACCCAATATTGTCAGGGGATTTTTTCCCATGCTCTGGGGTTCGTGGTGGATGTTCTGGGTCTCCCCTGCAGCTGCCAGCCCCAGCTTGGCCAGGCAGGGTCTGTTTGTGTCCCCTCAGGAAGCCCTGGCCCTGCACCGCCCCGATTTCATCTCGCGCTCGGGGCAGCGCCTGCAGCACCTGCGGCTGCTCCGCGAGGAGAGGAGGCTGCACACATCCCAGGGGGAGAAACTGCGGCCACCCCAGGGGGAAAGACTGCTGCCATCCCAGGGGGAAAGACTGCTGCCACCCCAGCAGCTGCTGCAGCCTGCAGGGAGGAGGAAGGACTGCAGGACTGCAAATCACCTGGTGTCCAACCGAGGTACTTCAGGGCTCTGCTTTGAATTCTTTGGTTTCATGAACTCCACATTATGCTTCAGGGTGTATTTATTTACTAGGTATTTCTCCTAAAGCTGTTACAGTTATTTAACCCTGTTGTCTGTAAGATCTTATAAAGAGTTTTTTGTAAGAACTTCTATAAAACTTACAAAGGACTCACGTTGTTGCTGTAACAAACTCGTTCATCGTTCCCTTATCTCAAAATTTTCTGTTCAGGTTTCCTGATGAGAGAAAAAAGAAGAGCAATTCCCAAGCGTGAGATGTTTCAAAGATCTAAAAGGTAAAGTCCAGGGAATTTTATTTCAGGTGGATCAGTGCTCTGGCTAGGGAAGAGCTTTGAATCCTTTCTGCAGTCAAAGAACTGAGTGTGCAAATAATTCAGCTTTTTCAGTGAAAAATGCAGGTGCCTTATCAGAGGGAGAAGTGTCCTGCTTAGAAGTTCCAAGAAACAAAATCATTTTGGAAAAGTGATTTCTGTAGCTAAAGCTGAGGATTCTGCTGCAGTGTCAGCCATCCACAGCAAACTTGGTCCCACGTGGAGAGGGAATGGGCTGGGGGACACTGGAGCATCTGAGGAAGCTCACAAATTAACAAAGTGGGTAACTGGGGCAGCAGCGAGGCACCATTCCCCCAAAGGAAGAGGCTCTCTATAGAAATAATCACCCCAAGGGAACACAGAGACTTTTACCCTTGGAAAAGCCACCTTGGGCAGGGTTTGTGTTATTTTTGACTGCAGTAATTCATCTCTGCAGTGCCCAGCACACTGCCATGGATTTGCCCTTTGGAAGAGCTGTGCTGCAGAGGGGGGTGTGGGAAGGGACAGTAAAAAATGGGAGTTCACTGCAGCTGAATTTTGCTGTGAATGGGATGGGAAGTGCTGGGCCAGGACCAGCAGAGCCTGAGTTCCTGGAAATAATCACAGGTTGGTGGGATGAGGCCTGAGCAGCCTGGTCCAGCCTTGGCATTAACCCTGCTTTGAGCAGGAGCTTGGTGGCCTCCAGAGGTTTCTGCCAACCTCGGTTTCTCTGGGATTCCACCAAACACCTGCTGCAATACACAATACATAAAACAAACCCCTTGATGATTTTTGTGACTTTAATGATTTTCATGATACATTTTAATGATTTTTAGCATTTAAGAGTGTTCTTAGGATGTCTGAGGAAGGTGTCCCTGCCCATGGCAGGGGTGGCACTGGATGGGCTTTGAGGTCCTTCCAACCCAAACCATTGCAGGATTGAAGGAAAACTTGGGGAAGCATCAGCACAGGAGAAAACAAAGCAGGGCAACACTACTGAAAGCACTGGAATTTTGGAAATGCCTAAAAAGCTTCAGTGAGGTGATTGCTGTGCTGAACTCCTGCCATGGCTGGAGGGACATGGGAGTGTCCTGGGCTGGGGACACGGGGGACACTGAGCTGCAGCTGGGTCACCACGGCAGGGCAGAGCTACAGGGGCTGCTCTGAGGAGGTGCTGGGGGGAGAGGCATCCCAGGGGCAGGAGAGGTGTTCGAGGGGCAGGAGAGGTGTCCGCAGGGGGAGGAGAGGTGATCCAGAGGCAGGAGAGGTGTCCCAGGAGCAGGAGAGGTGTCCCAGGAGCAGGAGAGGTGTCCCAGGGGCAGGAGAGGTGATCCAGAGGCAGGAGAGGTGTCCCAGGGGCAGGGGAGGTGTCCCAGGGGCAGGAGAGGTGTCCCAGGGGCAGGGGAGGTGTCCCAGGGGCAGGAGAGGTGTCCCAGGGGCAGGGGAGGTGTCCCAGGGGCAGGAGAGGTGTCCCAGGGGCAGGGGAGGTGTCCCAGGGGCAGGAGAGGTGTCCCAGGGGCAGGGGAGGTGTCCCAGGGGCAGGAGAGGTGTCCCAGGGGCAGGGGAGGTGTCCCAGGGGCAGGAGAGGTGATCCAGAGGCAGGAGAGGTGTTCCAGAGGCAGGAGAGGTGTCCCAGGGGCAGGAGAGGTGTTCCAGGGGCAGGGGAGGCATCCCCAGGGGCAGGAGAGGTGATCCAGAGGCAGGAATTCCCAGGCTCAGTGCTGCTGGGGATTCCACAGTGGGACACCAGCAAACTGCAAACGCTTTTGTCAGGGATGTGCTTGGCCAGCAGCCCTTAGGGATGTGGGGATAAAGCAGAGGGTGTGTGTTGCAGTAAAGCAGATGGGACTCAGTTTCTTCATGCAGGAAGAATAAAGCTGATATTAAATAAACAAAGTAAATATAAATGTATAAATATAATAAATAGTATAAATATAGAAATAAATAAAGCTCATATTCATACAGTTTTCTAATTGGTTAGTAACCTTAACACTCAATCTATTGGTTAGAAGGTGCTTGTGTGTGTGTGTATGTGTTAATGCTTTTTTTCTTCAGGTGTTTACATTTTTTCTTTGTAGATTCTCATAGGATAGATCTTTTGTTATTACTTTTTTCTTTACAAGAATAAGTTGTTATGCAAACTTGATTCTCACTGTAATTTTTTCACATCAGAACTTACAAGCTAGCTACTAGTTCAGCTGAAGTAGCAGGACCTAAACCATATTTTGTAGGGCTTTTCTTTTATAATATTTCTCTCTGTGTACAGCAGCTGTGGTTTTTAGTGTCGGGCATTTTCAAATCTCTGTTTTTGCCTTCCCTCTCCCTTTAGGATGTACGAGCAGCTCCCCGAGGTGAGGAGGAAGAGGGAGGAGGAGCAGAGGAAGCAGGAGTACAGCTCCTACCGCCTGAGGGCTCAGCTCTACAAAACTGTGAGTGCAGCACCCTCTGGGCTCAGCCCTACAAACCTGGGAGTGCCCCTGGTCCCTCTGGGCTCAGCCCTACAAAGCTGGGAGTGCCCCTGGTCCCTCTGGGCTCAGCCCTACAAAGCTGAGAGTGCCCCCTGGTTGCAGTGGAGATGGACAAAGACACTTGTTCATGCAGAATAGCCAAATCTCTGTTCACATAGCTCATATTTTATTATATAATATATATAATAAAACATGTTATATATTTTTTCATATATTTATTTTATATATTTATATTATAGATATGATATCTATATATATAATAAATATGTCTTTTGATAGAAATGTATTTCGGTATACATTTATATAAATATATAATATAAATATAAGCTATTCAATATATATATTTATATAATTATATATAATACATAGTAATATAATCTATTATATATTATATATATAACATATAATATATATTATATAAATATATGTTTTATTATATTTCTGTGGTTATCAGAAGGCACCATGTCTGAATCTAACTGCTCAGCAGTTCATTCAAGCTCAGCTCACTGGCTGGGAAGGGCTAGTGTCCATGTCCATCAATCCTTTCTGTTTCTAGGTCTGTTCACATTCTTGTCTCCTGGGGAGTGAATGTTTCACAGGGGTAGGATTTTCCTCTCCACAGCTGTGAGCTGTCTTCTCACAAGAATAGATTGTCTTGCTAACTGATTCTCACCATTGCAATTATTATCTCACAGTACTACGAGGCCAGATTTTAGAAGGCTTTTTTTTGTAAGGTTTTACCTATATGTGACACCCCCTCCCCTCTGGAGCACCACGTTCCCTCAGGGAGTGCCAGACACAGGGATCTGCTGAGGGGTGTCTCTGTTTGGAAAGCCAGGTGTCTGCTGAGGAAGGCAGGAGCCTCCCCTGAAATGGAAAATGGAAACCCCCTTCCTCTGAATTATTGTCATTTCGAAATTAAGGGGCTCTCAGCAAAGATATGGGAATAGGAATAACAGTTCTTTACTAGGAAATTAAATATACAAATGCAATAGTACAAAAAAGAAAACAAAGCACTGGCAGAGTCAGAGCAGGAGCTGAGCCCTGTGGTCAGGGTGGTGGCACAGTCCCATCCCATGGGGGCTCAGCCCTCCTGCAGTGCCAGCTGTGGTTCTGCTGGAGCAGGGATCCTGCACAAGGCTGCAGTTTTCCTCTGGAGCTCCAGGGCTGCTGGAGATGGGCCTGCTCTTCCTCTGGGAATGCAGGGCAGGAGAAAGCTGCTGCTCTGGGAATGCAGGGCAGGAGAAAGCTTCTCCCAAGGGAATGCAGGGCAGGAGAAAGCTGCTCCTTGGGAATGCAGGGCAGGAGAAAGCTGCTCCCAAGGGAATGCAGGGCAGGAGAAAGCTGCTCCTCTGGGAATGCAGGGCAGGAGAAAGCTGCTCCTCTGGGAATGCAGGGCAGGAGAAAGCTGCTCCTCTGGGAATGCAGGGCAGGAGAAAGCTGCTCCTCTGGG